TGTCGCCTAGTGCTTGCTCATGGTGGGAATTGTTGGGTTTCTGTAATTAACTTCAGAGTAGGGTCTGACCTGCTCTGTTTGGAAAGCGCTGTGAGACAACTGTTGTTGTGATGTGGCGCTAATATATAAATAAATTTGAATTGAATTGAATTGAATAGCATAAACTCGTGAGGCCTCAGACTTCTCGGGGTCCGGCACACACCTGGAGCTGGGACTGCAGGGAGCGCCTGGCCAGCAGGCTCTGGATGACGTTGGTCCGGTCCAGGCAGTCCATGCAGTTACTGCGGAACACGCCTCTCTGCTGGTTCATGATCTTCCCCTCCGAGTTCACCATGAAGTAGCTGCACACACACAGAGAGAGAGTTCCAAAGAGTTCCTCCAGAGATCCTCCACTGTTCCTCCAGAGGTCCTCCAAAGAGTTCCTCCAGAGGTCCTCCAGAGGTCCTCCAAAGAGTTCCTCCAAAGAGTTCCTCCAAAGAGGTCCTCCAGAGGTCCTCCAAAGAGTTCCTCCAAAGAGTTCCTCCAGAGGTCCCCCAAAGAGTTCCCCCAAAGAGTTCCTCCAAAGAGGTCCTCCAAAGGTCCTCCAAAGTTCCTCCAGAGGTCCTTCAGAGGTCTTCCAAAGAGTTCCTCCAGAGGTCCTCCAAAGAGTTCCTCCAAAGAGGTCCTCCAAAGAGTTTCTCCAAAGGTCCTCAGAGGTCCTCCAGAGGTCCTCCAGAGTTCCTCCAGAGGTCCTCCAGAGGTCCTCAGAGTTCCTCCAAAGAGGAGGACAGATACCTGTACTCCTCCTGGGTCTCTGCCACAGCGTCCACCAGGATCTGGAGACGGTCCCATCTCATGTGGCTGCACTCTTTGTGGAAGTCGAAGGGAATGTAGCTGCAGATAAGAGAGCAGAGCAGCCCCAAATCAGACATCTTCCATCACAGAAGGAGGGACACAGACGTCTCCGGTTATGGGATGGAAGTAGGGTTGTCACGATACTAAAATGTTGAACTCGATACCGATACTCAGGAAAATATTCCATACTCGATACCACAAGGATAAAAACAAAGACCCCAAAATGTAACTGAATGTTGACAGGTTAGTGTCTTTCCTTTAAAATTGACCTGTTACTGATGTTATCATGGCCGGTGGCCCACATTAATGACCCTAACCCTAACCCTAACCCTGACCCTTCATAATTGTGAGAAATAAATATTTTTTGGTTAAACTTGTCTGGACTTATTGTACAAACCTATTTAACATACACTATTTTAACATAATATCATGTATAGAGTTTAATTCAGTGTTTACAAGATTGATTTCACTATCTTTAAAATAATGTCTATATTGCCATGAAGCAATTAGGATTTTCTTGCCTGGGATCTTCCTATTGGTGACCTAATCAAAATGGCCGACTTGGATGTGGGGGAGTTGGATATCCATCCTTGGCTTCCTGCAGACTTGATTCATTTTGGCGTGTTATTGTTAGCCATTAGCCGCAGCTAGCAATTCAAGGCTAACGTCATGTTAATGATCATAAACAACGTAAATAAATAAATAAATATGAGAGAAGGGGGGGTGGTATCTATACTTTTGAAAATGAGTATCGTATCCGGATAGAACGTTTGAGTATCAATACTTTTGGGAACCCTAGATGGAAGACCCCTGAATGACACCACATCCATGCTAACTGCACTCCACTTACTTGAGCATATTGTTGCTCATGCCAGAAACCATCTTGGCAAAGGCCTGTTCCAGAGGTTTCTCTGAGCCCTTCTGGTTGACCTGGAGAAGGGAGAAGCCCACAAACTGTCAGCGTGCCTCCCAGAGCTGGTTCTTAGTTTACTGTGCTGCAGAAGGCCGTCCTCACCAGGTTCAGGATGGTTTGCTTCCCATAGATAAGGAGCTGGGAGTCAAAGTGCCGCTGGAAGCCATCCATCTGTGAAAAGCTTTCGAACGGTTACTTCCACAATTTTAAAGGAGACATATTATACCCTATTTCAACAAGTTAA